ATCAAATCTGAAGCGAATAAAAAGCTTCAGTCAGGAATATCCAGCATTATCCAGCTCCTGCTCACCAGTGACATCAAGCGTTTCACACTTGGAGTCAGGCGACTGGTTGACGAGCTTAGAGCAGTAATCAATGATGTTCTCAATCATAAGCGTGACGGACGCGATGAGCTCTCGGGTATCACCGTAATCAAACGAGTTCAGCTGCTGGTTCGGTGGAACCGTGCTGAACAAGAAAACAATGTCAGAGATAAAAGATGCATCATAGAAAAAGCATCGACCTCTGAACCAGTCTCAGGTAGTGCTCGATGGTAGACAGGTCCACCAAGTCTGTCGTCTGCTTCGTCTGATACATCACGAGCGTGTACTGCCCGTCGGGAAGCTCGAGCGAGAGCGTCGCGTTGTCAATGTCTTGCTCGAAGACGAAGGCGTTCATGGTGTCGCTGTAGATGTTGTAGGTGAACTTGCTCCTGCTCGGGTCCAGGCTCGAGTCGAGGAGCGTCAGGTCCCACCCCAGCAAGGCTCCACTGTCAGCGATCACGTCCTTGAGGCTCAGGGACACGCTCGTCAGGTTGGGATACTTGCCGCAGTCTGGGATGCAGCCGAAGCGACCGAAGCCCGGGTACTCCGCAGGGCTGTCGCAGACTCCGTCACCACAGACGGGGTCTTGGAAGACGGACGGGAGGATACTCTGCTGCAGCCAGGAGTAGAGGTCGTCGTTGTTGCGGATGTATCCCGTGGCTCCTACCCCGGAGTTCATGAAGCCCCCCGAGAGATATGTAGGAAGGTCACCGATAAGGAAGTCGAGGAGCGAGCTTTCGATAGCAAACAGTGTTTGAGAGTCACGCTGGACAAAGACGAGGAGGATGAAGAGGAGGAAGAAGAGGGAGGTGCCGGCGAGCTTACGGTATCTTGTCGAGCGATCGATCCTGGATTGTACCTGCTCCAGAAATGCTTGGAGTTTCGACTCTTTCTGCTTCTCTGAAGATTCCTTCGGTGGACAGAACAATGTCTGAGACTCTACGTCATGAAGAACGCTGTCAATAGTTTCAATCCTATTCCTGAAGACATTCGGATTCTCAAGCACTCGGTTCAGATCAAACTCGGCATCCTCGTAGCTTCTCGACTCCCTTTGATGCTGCAGGACGCCTGCAACGGCGGCGTTCAAGGCCATGGCGGCACTCAAGGAACAGAAGCTGGAACCATCGACATTGATGCAGCCGCACGGGGACAAGCAGGAACAGAAGGCTTGATAGATGATAGTACCTAGCTTTCACACCCGGTGTCGCCTTTGAAAGTACAATCATTGTCCCAGTCTCTTCATAGCAATTTGAGGGTATCGGGAGTAATAAGCGGGTCAGACAGACAGACAGACAGACAGGTGATATATACTGGGTGATATATAGAGATAGAACGTTCATTTTAATCTTACATGAGTTATAGTAATCAAAGTTTTACACCAGTACAGACTTTATAAAGAACCCCCACAAATATGATGATTCAAGTGGGGTGGTAGCAAAGAAGTCAAAAGGCTATTTGAGGGTAGGGTAGTCTCAAAGACCTCGGACATTCCGATCGACAGCTGAGCAGTACCGTTGTACCCCTGCAATCCCCTTGAATAGAGGGGTAGTGCGTTAAGCCTAGTCGGTCACTTCCCCATGAAATCCATATCTTTTATATTGGTACTAATGATCTTCTTGTTTTTAGAATTGTACCAGGAACATGATAGTACTTGATTTCGGTGTTTTAAAAATCTGACCAATTCGTTTTTGATCACGACTAATGCGATGCGAGTAGTTGGGAACCAATGGGGGGAGGAGAAGGAGTGTTGAGGAAACGTTGAGGAAGCGTTGAGTAGAAACAGATAGCAGGGCGAGATAGAGTGAGAAAGAGAGTGAGGACTGATGGAAAAGGGACGGAAAGCAGAATGAGATTGAGAAAGGTCGGGAACAAGGGCAGGGCTTGGATGAACAAAGCTATTCACACACATCGCACTTTCACTAGCAGAGAACAGGAATGAGACATGGCTTGGAACTAGTTTCATTGACGACGAACAGCAAAACAATACCCTATCTGTTTCTGCTTCAACCTCTGACACATGCGTATCGCAGGACGCTGGAACTTTAAGACTTCTACGAGGGCTCCGGGTTTGTTAGGTGTGTACAAACTTGATCTAAACCAGTCGACATGGCTGCAGCTGTTGTTGCCGCTACTTTGAATCGGCAGATGCGCGAAGCTGAACAGGAGCAGGAGCTCGATTACTCTCTACATGGCATGCTGGAGGACCCGCACACCTTTCAAAGCAGGATGGCGTCGGTGGATAGCGTTCTGGAGGACCTCAAGTCAAAGTCCTTGTTCGGCCCCACGGATGATGCGCTGAAAGAGTCAGAGTCAAAGATTCATGCTCTCCTCGAGAAGGTGCAGGCCAGGATCGATCGCTCGACAAGATACCGAAAGCTCGCCGGCACCTCCCTCTTCTTCCTCCTCTTCATCCTCCTCGTCTTTGCCCAGCGTGACTCTCAAGTTCTCTACGTCATTGAAAGCTCGCTCCTCGACGCCCTTGTAGACGACCTTCCTTCCATGCGCTCGGGGGGCTTCATGAACTCCGGGGTAGGAGCCACGGGATACATCCGCAACAACGACGACCTCTACTCCTGGCTGCAGCAGAGTATCCTCCCGTCCGTCTTCCAAGACCCCGTCTGTGGTGACGGAGTCTGCGACAGCCCTGCGGAGTACCCGGGCTTCGGTCGCTTCGGCTGCATCCCAGACTGCGGCAAGTATCCCAACCTGACGAGCGTGTCCCTGAGCCTCAAGGACGTGATCGCTGACAGCGGAGCCTTGCTGGGGTGGGACCTGACGCTCCTCGACTCGAGCCTGGACCCGAGCAGGAGCAAGTTCACCTACAACATCTACAGCGACACCATGAACGCCTTCGTCTTCGAGCAAGACATTGACAACGCGACGCTCTCGCTCGAGCTTCCCGACGGGCAGTACACGCTCGTGATGTATCAGACGAAGCAGACGACAGACTTGGTGGACCTGTCTACCATGGAGCACTACCTGAGACTCAATGCGAAGTAAGTAAGTGAATCTTTAGTTATATTCGTTAATGTTGATCGACAGCACAATCCCGGAGAAGGAACTTTCAAATAGTTTGCACTATGGCGACATGCGGGAATTTCTCTCGTCGGCGATTCTTTTGCTGGAGAACATCATTCATTACTGCTCGAAAGAAAGTTCTAGAACCTTTCAAGAATGTCAAGAGCTCAATGTTGAAGGTCTTTCGTTGTTATTGGCCTTATACACTTTCTGATTATCCTTATTCGCTTCAGATTTGATCGCTCATTTTCTTGATTCCTATGGACTAAACGGCAGCGTATCCATGAAAGATCGGAGGACAAAAGTCCTCACGCCTCTGTTAAATGTAATACACCTGCTCTCACATGCTTGGACTCAAATGCTTTTCTCAGATCAAATTCTGCTCGGCCCCGAACCTTCGCAACAAAACCTACGCGGCCCTCAAAGAACTGTTCACTTCCTACCAGACCTCCGGCTGCTCCGACTCGAACGCCTTACGCGCAACCCAGCAGAGTCTGTCAGCGACGATGAAGAGAAGCAAGAGGCCCCTACAAGTACTGCAAGACTTGGTGGACGCGAAGAACAAACATCAGTCCCAACGAGCAACCGCAGCAGGGGGAACACAACAAGTCGGATATACTTGCTCCTCCCACGCTGACTGCGCTGCCTCCTCCTTCTGCGCTGCATGGACTGTAGTGGCTCCCAGCACCAGCTCCTCCTCCTCAAGGCCAACCAACAGCGCCTCCTCCTCCACCTTCGTCTGCAAGCCCTGCGCTCTCTGTACCGTGGACACCAGGGACTCCTACGACGGCGTCTGTCCTCAGGACAAGTGCCCTGGCTCCGGCGGCTTTCCGCCCTGCGTTAACGCCTCTGCTCTTCTCGCCAGCTTCTCCTCCTCCTGCGAGAACCACAACCACTTTGACATCTGGTCCTACGGCTCCTCCTCCTCCGGCCCGCCGGTTGTCATCCCTCCCTTCACGCCCAAGGTGCTGGAGGTGACGCCGTTCAACCGCATGGTCGGAGCTCTCGTGGTCTCGCAGAAGCGCATGCAGAGTCTGCCCACGTGCGTCGATCACATCCAGGACCCAGGGCTGCACAACTACACGCTCCTCGCTCAGAGCAGCATCAACTGCCCCTCGACCTCCGCGCAGGAGAGCACTCCCTTCGGCTTCGACCCGACCTTCATGCCCTCCAGCAGCCTCTACAACGGCGAGCTGCGAGCCGATCGCTTCTACGGCGACAGCGAGCGACACTCGTTCGTGGACGACAGCGGGCAGGAGGTGATCTCCTACCCGTACGGCTTCTTCCCCCACCGCTACGACTCCAACCACCTCGACCTCAACATGGACGGCGAGCTGACGCCCGACGAGCTCGCTCGTGACGTCAACGGCTCTGACTTCAGCAAGAGCCCAGCTGTGGTGGTGAGCTTGGAAGCGGACAACTTCAAGGTGTACTTCGACGAGCGGCTGTCAAGGAAGCAGGCGCTCGACATGCTGACGAGCCTGCAGGACGGGAAGTTCATCGACTTCCAGACCAAGCAAGTCTCCGTGGAGCTCATGACCTACAACGCGGTCAGAAACATCCTCTCCTACTGCCAGGTGACCTTCACCTGGGACGTCGGGGGAAAGATCCCGTGGGAGTACAAGATCACGACGGTGGGGGTGGACAAGATCAAGCACCCGAGCACGTGGCAGCTGCTGCTCATGCTCGCCATCCTGCTGGCCCTGGTGATCAACATGGGGATGGAGGTGACGGACATCCTGCACCACCTGAGAAAGTTCTCTGCCTCCTCCTACTTCACCGACCCCTTCAACCTCATCGACTGGCTTCACTTCGCGTTCCTCGTCGGCTCGGTAGTCAGCTGGCTCCTGCTGCACAGCAAGGCGCGAGCCTTCAGCCTCAAGGTCGGTTACCCGATCCTCTTCTACGGGCCCGAGTACGGCAGCTCGCGACGAGTCTCCTCCGCCTCCAGCCAAGAGCTTCCCGGTGACTTCGAGAGTCCCATCGCAGTCACCAGCTTCGCCAAGGCCAGGAGGCTGCGGACCAACAACCAGGCCGAGTACGACTTCCTCCTCCTGCTTGACTCGGTCAAGGCCATGGCGTCGGCAGAAGACATGTACGCCTTCTTCGCGGGGATGAGCATCGTGCTGTTTGTGTTCCGAATGCTCAAGTCGCTGGACTTCCAAGAGCGGATGGGGATGGTGACGAGGACGATCGGGAGGGCGTCGAGCGATCTGTTTCACTTCCTGCTGCTGTTCATGATCGTGTTCTTGGGGTATGCCATCGTCGGCGTGTTCCTCTTCGGCCATCAGTACGAGGTTTTGATTCCATTACTTGGTTCATACATGATCCTTACGACCGTTGCAGGGGATGTCAAACTTGAGCTCGGCCTGCAAGACTCTCGCCATGATGCTCTTCAATCTTGACTCGACCTTGTTCTACTCCTCGGTACTATCAGAGGAACTTGATGGATATCGTTGACTCTTTTGTTCAGCTTTCACATTCGTCATCGGACGGAGCAGTACAAGTGTTTCTATGGTCCTACGTGTTTGTCGTCTTCTTCCTCCTCTTCAACATCTTCCTCGCTATCCTGGTCGACGCGTACGTCAACGTCAAACATGAGGTCGATAAGGCCAACGGGCTCCTGCAGGACATCGCCCTGTTCGCCGTCCACGGGGCTCGTCGGGTGATTTCTCCCAGCTCAACTTTTATCTCGGACCAGCAGCTGGAGAAGCTACTCAAGGAGAAGCTGGAGGCCATATGTGTCAAGAACGTCATCCAAGGTGAAGTCAACCAGCACCTCGCCCACCAGAAGGCCATCCTCTTGAAGGGAGGGCATCAGATCGGACCGCAGCAGCTCGGCTCCCTGCTGGGCTTCCAAGAGGCCAAGGAGGATGAGGTGGAGGCTTCTGCAACAAGCCTGGACGTTCCAGTGTCGGAGAATGCGGCCATGCAGGACGTGATGAGCAGGTACGGGGAGGACGTGGCAGAGCTGCGAGATCGGAGGAACACGGAGCTCAAAGAGATCGTGGGGATGGAGAACATGAGGTGAGAGGAGGGAGAGGGAGGCGAACAGCGAGCTGACGGCTTGTGCAGACGTCTGCTCGCCATGAACGCGATTCAGATCGGGATCATGGAGGAGCAGCGCAGGCTGATTGACCTAGTGGAAGGCATCGCTCGCAAGTCAAACGTGCAGATTCCAAGGACAAGGAGCTGCTTCGAACTGTTTGGGAAGGAGCGAGAAGGAAACAAGCGGCTGAACCTGACCGTCCTCTCAGCCTCAAAGCTTCCTAAGATGGACTTCTTTCGTAGTTGCGACCCATACTGCGTCGCCTACATCAACGGCAGCGGGTCCTCCCCCTCCTTCCGCACCAGCGTCGTGCAGAGAAGCACCTCGCCGACATGGAACGAGAAATTCACATGGAAGCTCGGGGGCGACACAACTATCCTCACCATCACCCTCTGGGACAAAGACAACGTTGTTCGTGCCTTTGTTTCTCGTCGTTTGACTAGCATGCGCAGGTGTCAAAGGACGACTTGATCGGCACGGTCATAGTGGATCTCAGGAGCTGTGTGGCGGGAGAAGCAAGGAGAGCAGATTTCCAGGTCAGGAACCCTCAGTGCCAGGCGAAGCTAAAGGATGCAACATTGTGTCTTGAGATCGAAATATTTGAGGAAGAGGAGATGACAGAGGAGGATTTGGACCAACAACCTAGTGAGTCTCCTGAGATAAGGTATGCTCCCCCTAGAGTTATCAAGGATGATTGATGGCAATAAAGTGCAATTTTTGATAGCAGTCTGATCAGCTACTTACCAGCTGGTGCTTATCTTACCATCCAACCTCCAGTTCCAACTCTGCTTTCTCTCTCCTTTCTCCTTCTTCTGTTCCTGTTATTAGTGATCATCATTGCCTCCAATTCTCATTTTCTTTTTCTGGCTGTCCTCGATCTTCCTCTTCCTCTGCCTTCTCTTCTGCCTCACCATATTCTCTCCTCTATCTATATCTCTATCTCTCCTTGTCCTCCTCCTCCTCCTCCTCCTCCTCCTCCTCCTCCTCCTCCTCCTCCTCCTGGAAATTTGACTAGGTATGTCATATTCCGACAACCCCCTGAGGGTTTTCTTTGACAACATCACCACCCCACCCCATCGATTCCGGAAAACACATACCATTTGCCATGTACCCCACCTGGTTCAATCTCGAACCCCACCCCTCCTCCTTATCCAGCCGTTGGATTCCAACGGGGAGATGAGGTCAAGGTAACCACTACCCCTTGTGGTGACCAATCAAGTACCCTACCGACTCTATCCTCTGACCGGCTGCCATGCGGCAGTTGCGAATGAAGTTGGAGGAGGAGGAGAGAGAGGAGGAGAGGAGGAGGAATGCAAGGAACAGAGAGCGAGATCCTGTGAAACGAGAGCGATGAGTAGGAGGAGGGGAGACGGAGAAGGGAAAGTGAAGAATCGGTTTTTGCCGGGAGGCGCCGAAATGCGTCGAGAGAACAGTCAACTATTTGGAGTGGTGTTCATGTTTAGCGAAGTAAGTTTAGAAGTGAGTCGATGAATGTCGAGAAGGAAAAGGAAACTACAGGATGGCAGCTCAAGCTGAACATGTAGATCAAGGTGCTTTCCGTAGATTGGTTCTGGTTTTCTTTCATGAAATCTGGTTGAGCGCATCGTACAATCTTGAAGCCCCTCATTTCGAATTTGAAATGGACAAGGGAGATAGTTAGACTTGAACTGGTCTAAACTTGTTGTGCCAATCCTTTTGGAGACTCATTGTTGACGTGATAGTTGGCAGGAAGAAAGTTGAAATTGATTCAAGACAAATACCAACAAACTAGGATGCAGCAGTAACATGCAAGTAGTGAAGATCGACATGACGGCCTGGCGTTGGACTAGGATCAACTCTTTCTGTCTCATCGTGTTTCTTCATTTGATCTTCTTGTCGTCGGGTGTTGAGGCCGTAGATCGAATCCTGGCATCGGTATGAAACCCCTGCTCTCGGCTCTTCCTGCATGTTTCTACCTTCTGACATACCTGCAGGCGAGCTTTCCCGCAGACGCGCGATGGATGACTTCATATCTGAATGACATTCCTGCTCCATACCAAGTTCAAGTGGACAACACAGGCGCCTCGGCTACAGACCGATCAAATGACAATCAACCATGGTACTTCACTTCTGGCGCGGTCTTTTCTGGCGACATGTCCGATGCGTACAACGGACTTCTATCGGTGATGAGATCTGCATCGTCGGTTTGTTGACACTGACGATGAATCTTCAGTTTCGCTTGATGCATGTTCAAATTGCTGATAGCAATGCTGTGATGATCAAGTCTCATCCGATCGTCATCCTTAAGGCTACCTGCGGCTATTCCCTCACTTGGACGCCAAAGTCATTCCCTTCCACAGACATGGTCACTGTGAATTTGAACGAATACTCCGGTATATGGCTACATGCTGATATCTAACGTGAATTGAACGAGTGTGCAGGATGGAAGGATAGTAGGACTGGAAAGGCACCCGACAATCTTGATTTTTTGGGTGTTCTAAGCCATTTGGAGTCAATCAAGATCTTGTAATACACTCATTGCTTTGACTCTTTCTTGTTCATGACATTTGCTCCCGCGTGAATGAGAAACTAATTAGCTTATTACAGGGGGTCATATTTCACTAGCGCTGAGACTACTAAGCTTATGGTAGACTTGTATGTCTCCATATGTTGTTGTGTTCCTGACATTGTTTAAATCAACAGGATGTAAAGCTGATTGCTGGGTCAAGATCCCAGTATCCATGCTGCAATGCTCGCAGTGAGGTATAGCTATTCAAGTACTCGGGAACTTTACGTTGACTCTGTCAAAGGTCGATGCTTGCACAACAAAGCCCTCCCAAGAGTTCAACCCACCTAATCTAGTGTTCTATTGCGAAGGAAGGTGATTATTTACCATTGTCCGATGAAGGGCAACGGACATCAGAACGAGTCATTCTGAAAGTTTTACTCCACAGTCAGAGAAAATCAGTGAAGATCTCAAAGATTTATCCGAGGTAACTTGATCTCGTGATCTATGAAGGATATTTAACTGCCCCCCAGGTATTCTCGTCGGACTGGCGGCACCTGGATTACAGTCACGGGTAAGGTTATACTCTACGGTGGCTGAAGTTGTTCACTCGCTTGTTCTTTCAGGCGAAAACTTTGGGCTAGCTGGAACCAAGCCAATTGTTCGTATTGATGGAAGACAGGTAAGAGTCGATACTGTCCATGGAGGCGTCAACTGACGTCAATGCAGTGTGAAGCTACGAAGTTTGTTCCCAGCAGAGCACTGGTCCAACTTCCAAGTACCATCGACGCCTCAACGATTCTGGCTCCATTGGTTGTGCATGAAAGCTTGATATAAATTTGACCTTGACACTTGAAATGCAGAACAACAAGCGAGGCAACGCCCTGCTGAATGCATGGATGACTGCTACAGACTCTATGAAGGTTCGCTTCCTGCTACAACAGAACAAGACGATAACACTTGGCTCAGAATATGTACCCCGAGCATTGCTGGAACGGTATGAAGGATGATGGAACGGACAAAGGATACAACTATGGAACGGTATATCCCTTCCTTCTGGACCTGAAGCCAACCCTCTGTGATATTCTTCTCTCTGCAGGAGGCAGCACCCAAGTATATCAACCAAGGAGAGACTGGGATTGACACCGGTAAACCCCGACGCGTATCTTGACTTGACACTGAGAGGAGTCGACCAGGTGGCCCATGCTTCCCCTCGCACTGCAGCAGCTGCCCAGACTCCTCCAAGTCATGGTGTGACTCCAACTACCAAGTGCGCCTCAGCCTCTGCTGCCGGTCAAGTTCGGGGCCCTGACCTTGTTCACTCAGATCATCGCTGAGTCCAGTGGAACCTGCAAGGGCCGCGGGGACCCCGTGACGGCCTGCAACCAAAACTTCCCATACCAGGTCAGCCTCGACGAGGTAGGGCTTGTCAATCTGACTCGATACCAGCGTTTCCCTTCTCTTTGTCCAGATAATCTTGACACTCCTCTGGTCTCCAACGTGGTCAGTAGATACAGTCCTACCTCTCTCTTTCAGTATCTTTCTCCCTCCTCCTCTCCTTTCTTCAACCCTCTTGCTGACCTTCTAGAGCTTCTTCTATCCTTTCCTCATTCCTCCCCTTCTGCAGTTTGCCTTTGCTCCTATCATCACAAGCACCCACAGGTCTCTACTCTGAGGTCGCAGACTCGGTACAGCACATCATCCTTGACCCAGACTGATAAGGTGTCCTCTCCTGTGAACTCTCCTACTCTTCATGACTCTTTCTCGTCTCGCCCAGTACTTCGACCTCCTGGACATCCGGAGCACAAACATCACGGCTCAACTCGCCGCTATCGACACTTCGATGACTGTCTTCAGCATCATCGACCTGGTCTGCCAGCATCAGAACACTCCTCTGACTAGAAACTGCCTTGCTGATGGCACCGCGACCGAGCTCGTACAGGTTTCTCCACACCCAAGAACTTTTCTTTGGTCCGTTCTGAACTTTTGAACCTTCTAGAACTTTGTCAAGATCTTTGACGCCAGCGACTTCACGGTAACTTCCCTCACCTCCTCATCTCCTCCTGATCAATTTCCATGCAGAAGTACGAGGTGGTTCTGGTGGAGCAGATCACTGGGGACAACACGATCAAGGTTTCCAGGGGCAAGGGAGGAACGACTGCTATCACCTTCACTGCAGGAAGTAAGGTGTATCAGTGTGGCAAGAACGAGTACTGCGCAACCAGTCAAGACCTGGCCAACAACCGCTACATCCGAGTAGACGACGAGATCATGAAAGTGACAAGTGCTGGCGGCATCGCCATGGTGTCTATCCCCAGCACGACATGTGGCAGCGGCTACAACGGCTCTACTGCTCTTATCGTGGAGTGTGTGGCTCCCTGTACCAGCAGGACTCCTCTGACTGGCAGCGTACAAGTCAATCCCTCAGACAACTCCATTGCAAGCGTCACCGTCACTGACCCTGGCTCAGGATACTCCTCTAAATTCCTCCCCACCATCACCGTAGCCAACGGAGACGGCTGCACCCTGACGCCTCTCTGGACCTCTGCCATCGTGAGCCGAGCGCAGGCGCTCACAACCGCTCAAGCGCACGCCAACGTCCCGACAATCTCCCGCATGGACTGTATCGACTCCGATGAGACCGGAGACAACTGCGGTGGGAGGTGCAAACCCTGCCCGTCGGGTGTCCGCGGCCCCCAGCAGCAGGTGAACTTTCTCGAGCTGCTGCATTCAACGCTGTCTTACCATCTTCCTGCAGGATACCGTTCTATGTCTCACTCCCGAGCTCAAGCATGGGCTCAACCCGAGTGACCTGGCAGTGACCGTTGAAGCAGCACCAGGACCCACGAACTCCCCCTACCAAGTTCGTATGAACGAGATGAAGACCGGCTGGGTGGACAAGTCCTCCTACTCAGTCTCGTGCGTCTCAGAGCAGAACCGAGGGTTCGAGTACGGGGCTCATGACTTCGTGTGGAGCTCCAGCCTCAAGAGCGACTACGCAGTTGTCGTCACGGGGACGACAGTCGATGGCAACACGGGAGACACATACGTTGTCGGGGCGATGGTGAAGCAAGTGACTATTGAGGGGAAGCACATCATGTCAGCAGAGCAGATGGGATCGTTGACTGTCACTACCAGCCTGTCCACCTGCACTCCGACCATCACCGGAATCCATGATGTTGTCGGGCTGCAATATGGCTGTGCTCTCAACGGCTTCATCGCTCGTTTCTCCAAGTCAGGCAAGGCCATGTGGCTCAACAAGGTTGAAGCAACAGGGAGCTCTACTACCCCCATGTCTGTTCTGACTGACGCAGCGTTCGACCCCGCTCGCTCTGAGCTCTACGTAGTTGGTCACTACAGCGACGGCCAGACGGACGGCCAGTATGCAACGACGCTGAACCTCTACGATGTGAATCCATCTACTCGAACCTCCGCGGCAACGACTACAAACACCATGGCGATGGAGACTCTCACGTCCACTAACGGCATCTACCAGGAAGGCATCATCGTCAAGTACGGCAGGGAAGGCAACGTACTGTGGTACAAGAAGATCGACGCCTCGGTCTTGTCGTCGGGTGCTGGAATGATCGTGTCAGACCTCAAGATTGAGACTTACAAGGCAAGCACTAGCAACATCATCAACACCCAGCTGCATGGCATCGGCAAGCCTCCCACAGCTCCCACGTCCACCAGCCGAGTCGACATCAACTATGACTCCGGCATTGCCCAGCAGGCAGTCCAGGGAGGCACCGGCACAGTCAGCACGATCACTCTCGCCTCCACCGCCTCCAGCACCAACAAGTGGTATAACGGCCTGACCATCAGGATCACCAAGGGACCTGGTTACGGTCAGAAGCGAACCATCTACGAGTACGACGGGACCTCCAAGGTCGCCAAGGTTCAGCCCGACTGGGACCCGCAGCAGCTCCCAACCTCAGCATCGCAGTACGTCATTGAGGGAGGCAGGCCGACCTCGTGGGTGTCTGGGATGCACTGGAGCAACGGAGGCGTGTACGTCAGCGGCAAGATTCAAACTTTCTGCGGCCAAAACTGCTTCACAAACGCGGACAAGAACGCGACATACGTTCGGATGGGAGAAATGCGTGACGTATATCGCGACTCGACGTCCAAGACAACTCCTAAGCACATTGACGTCATTCTCTCTCAGGACGACCACCAGAACTTCGTCTCTCAGTTTGACATGGACGGCAGAGTCTTCTGGACCCGCCTGGTTGGCTCCAACGGCCTCTACGGGCAAGTTGTGAACGGTGCCCTGGCCAGCTTCACATTTCACAGCAGTCAAACTCTAGAAGACAACATGTTCGAGGGGGCGCTGGTGACTGTCGTCGCTGGAACGAACATGGGGGAGACAAGAATGATCAGCTCCTTCTCCGCCTCGACCAACAACGTGACTGTTTCCACTGATTTCAGTGATCCATGCGACAGCACTACCAAGTTCATCATCTCCAACAAGGGCACTACGGGCACCGTCACCTCCGTCACAGCCCCCAATACGGCCATCCTCAGCGGAGACTTCCTGTCGTTCGACGACGCATACAAGGGCTTCAACATCATCTTCTCTAAAGCTGATGGTACCACTCGATCCCTCGTACGCATCGACAGCTACACGGCCAGCACCCAAACCTTCACCTTCAAGGCCTACGGCACCTCCTTCACTGCTGCTGCCAACGACCAGTAAAGATTGACTTACACGCCGGGCCCGCCTCTGACCTTCTCTCCAGGTTCCACATCCTCGATGCCGCCACTATCGCCGCCATGTCAGTGGCTGACGATAAAGTTTTCCTCACGGGTCTCGCCACCCAGTCGTACCTCCGCGTTCAGAACTGCTCCTTCGACAGCGCTACCGTCCTCGAGGGCCCACCGGCCAACACTCAGCCCACCCAGGTGTTCGAGTGCGCCAACGTGGGAACCAGTCTCATGGGCCCGACAACCTACGACCCCAGCAGCGTCGCGCTGGTGGCTCAAGGGTCCAACAAGAGCGACGCCTCGGTTGGGATGCTGAAGGCGTTCACGGGCTGGGGCATGTACACTCTTGCTTACAACGGTTCCGGCGCGGCCACGTGGCTGCAGCAGGCGAGCGGCGGGACGATCCGACCACGAGCGATCGTAGCAGTTGAGCCATCGATCGGAGGAAGAGCGCTCGAGAGTCAGTGGGGAGGAACTCCAGACTCCAGGTCCCTCCCCAGCAGGAACCAGCCTGACGATGCATCGCATGCTCGCGACGTGGGCTCGGAGAATTTCCCGACGGCTGTGATCGACGGGAGGTATGTCTACGTGGCCAGCGAGGTCTACGACTGGATGAACGCAACAGACTTTGGTAGGACAAGATTCCCGTTGGAGTGCAGTCGCGGAAAGACGCTCGGCGAGAAGTCGGTCTCGACAGATCGTCTCCTCGATGCTCAGTGCGCTGGTCAGGTCGTGGCAAAGGGCTCTTCCTCTTCCTGGCCCGGGTCCCACACAGCCTCCCCTGACATCGTCCTCGTCCAGTACTCCATGCAGGATGGGACTGTCAACCTGATCCGTCGCACCGGGCAGATGGACGGGAAGGAGACTGTGACGTCCATGGCTGCTGACCCCTTGACGGGCTCAGTCTACTTGACTGGTCAGTACTACGTAAAGTCAACGAGCGACGTACAAGGAGGAGAGACGAGGACGGGAGGGGAAGACATCTTCGACCTTGTGGCTGCTAAGAGGGGGGAGAGTGTGGGCTGTCCCTTGCAGCGAGTCGACGGGACTCTCAGCCTCGGGGAGTCGGGCACCCCCTACTGCAAGTTCTACGCGCAGGCCAAGTCGACAGCAACTGGGACTGGCTATCTTGTGAAATTCTCTTTCAACGGCGATGAAAACAACAGGGGCAACTTGAACCGCCGGCTGGTCCCCTCCATCACGGGCCACCTGACCGCTAGCAGCTCCCTGCTCTCCTGCCAGGACAAGAACCTGGTCACCGCAGACACCAACGGCCAGACCCATGTCCTGACAGGAAGCGCGGACTGCAAGACTCACGTCAGCGGCTGCAGCTGCCTGTACCTTGTCATCCAGTCCAGACTGACCGACGGGGCTGCTGTCTACCAGGACTCTGGGACTGGACCGACGTCCCAGCTCAGCGGCTACAAGATCAGGATCACAGCAGGGAGGTCCAAGGGATACGAGGGTATCATATCCGCCTACAGCGTGTCGTCCAAAGTCTACAACGTGATTCCCTCCCTCCCCTCAACCGGCGTCGACGAGACTTCACTGTTCCAGCTCTTCCCCTGGAGCGAGTTCACCTCTAGGCTCCACCTGCCCTCCTGCTCCGCCCCCGTCAACGCTGGCTGCGGCGCATACAACATCGACTGGGCCAAGACCATCGGCCGCTCTCTCTCTACGGGCGGCAACACGCAGACGACGGCGCAGACGTCTCCTGTCTCCCTCAGCCTCGTCCATTCTGACTTACTTGTCGCTGGCACCTTCTCCGGCTTCGTAGGCTCCACTACCACCGGACAAGTCAGGTGAACAGAAGATCTATCATCGCTTCCTCCCCCTTCCCCTTCCTTCTTGCTCTTCGTCATTCGTTTGAACTCCTCTCCATCGCTTCTTGCCCATCCTCCACCTCCTCCATCGCTTCCCAACCTCCTCCTCCTCCCCACTAGATCTTCCTCTTTTTCCTCCCCTCCACAGATCTTCTTCTTCCTCCTCGCCTCGTCTAGATCCTCCTCCTCTTCCCCACCTTCAGATCCTCCTCCTCTTCCCCTCTTCTAAATCCTCTGCTTGCAAAGGCTGTCTGACCCTCTTCCCGCAGCCTTGGCTTCGAAGGCATCGACGAGGTCGTCGGGTTTGCCAATCAGAACTCGCAGATCGGATCTTTCTTGACAAGACTGGAGGACTGAGGGCCCCCAAACTTCTCCTCTTCCTCCACGTAGCATAGAAACGCTTCTTTCAACCTCATGTGTGCTTGTTTATACCTCAAGAGTGCTAAACAACAAAAGCTCTCTTCTCCTCCCTCCCCTCCTCCCTCCCCTCCTCCCTCCCCTCCTCCCTCCCCTCTCTTTCTCTTCTCCCGCACACACACAAAAGAGTAGGAGGGCATACAAGACACGGGAAGAAAGCATCTGACCGCTTCCTGACGGATCCTCTCAAGCTCCCTCCTCGCGGGCACATCGCAACATGTCAACTTCACTGACTGACTGATAGCGCGACTAGTCAACTGGGTCGTCCTGGTATCTACAACCTGCGAGGCTTCACTCTCCTTCCCCGCTGCTCCTGCTCCTGCCGTCAGTCACAAGTACTGCATCCTCAGCTCGGGCTCACCTGGCCATCCTCCCGCTTCCTCAGCAGCGTTGCTTCCCCGCTCATCATGTCTGCTGTGCTCCCTTCCCCTCCCCTCCTCTCGGGTGTTGTCATTCCCAGCTCCTGCAGCCTCCCTTCGTCTTCCTCTATCTTGTCGCAGCTCGCAATGATGTCCTGCACAGTCAAGTCAGCTGGGCTCTAGCCCGGCACTTCTCCTGACCTTCAGCTGGCCCTGGATCCTCTCGAGCTGAGCTCGCTGCCCCTTGACTTGACAGTACTGGTTTGACCGCATCTTGTCCACCACCCCCACCCTCGTCTGCAGCTCACGACCCCCCACTGCCAGGCTCCCGTCCCACACTCTGACCTCGGTGGGCTTGTCAAGGCCGACAACCATCTCACCTTCCTGTACTGAACTCTCGAAGTAACTCCCCGCCTCCTCTGACCTCTCGAACAGGATCAGCTTCCCGAAGAAGTGCCGAGCGAACCTCCGCAGCATCCCCCGCGTCTCCTCCTTCTCCTTCCTTGGTGGCGCCGGCACCACAAACTGGCTGGCTCTCCCGTACGCTCCATCCGGGGAGAGGTCAGGCTCATCCAGAGGGATCGCGGCGTCGGGGAGCCTGTCAAGCTCGGAGAGGGTCATGACCTTGACGACGCTGAAGCCGGAGGAGGTGCGGATCTGCTCCATCTGACTGCTGGTGCCTCTGCTGGTCTTCGTCAGCAGGACGCAGTTGAGCTCGTCGCCGAAGGCTGTGGAGATGGCAATCTGAATGTCTGCGGCCCTCGGGTCATCAACGACAAACAAGGACGCAACACATCCTAGCACGTCAGCCTTCTTGGGGATCTTGACCCGGTGACTGCACTCCGGGTATCGAAGTTGGCTGTACATGTCTTCTATCGCCTTCAGCCTTTGCTCAAACACATCCCGCAGAACGTTGCAGCTGTTTCCAAACCTGTTGCAGTCTGACTTCAACAACTTATTGTCTTCTCTGTCTTTTATTTCCACCCAGATCTCCTTGATCGGCTGACAGACTCTTGCTTTCTGGGGCAGCTGAGAAATGGAGTTGGAGATGGTCTGCCTCTCCTCGGCCAGCCGACGTCGAAGCCTCTGCGTCTCCTTGACTCGACTGTCAAGGACGCTAGCCGCGGCCTCCTGCTCCTGCTTGACACTGGGTGATCTCCCCCCCTCATCGAGAGGACAGCTGCTCTCGGTGTCATCGACCATGGCGGAGGCGGAGGGTGCAGGGAGCAACGCGCTGACAGGAATCTCGCTGATAGAGCGGAGGAGCTCGACATTCGTGCTGATCTTGAAGGAGATCTTACTGGCAGACGTCTCGCGGGCTGGATGAGTCAGGGGAACAAGCCTGAAGCTGCTGTCCCTGCTCGGGGTCTGAGCATCGAGAGTGACTTGACTAGCCTCCAGTTTGAAGTTGTCCTCTTGGTCCAGGCACGGTAGCACGCAGGCCTGCCAATCCGATCGCTGGTGAAAGCTCGTCGAGTTGGCCTCGCGGTCCCAGGCCGTCACGTCGAAGTTCCAGAGGAGCTCGTCGCCCTCTGCCTTGGAATACCTCAAATTCAGCTGCTCCACTGGCCCTGCTCAAGCTCGTTAGCGTCGCACTTGACAGTTCACAGTCGCTCACCTGGCTTGACAACGACACGACCGTCGCAACTGACCTTGTTCTCGTCGTACGAGGACCTCGTGTCCGTGAACTCCACTGAAATCTCGTGGGGACCGAGCTGGGAGCGAGTGAACGTCAGCTCAAGGCAGTTGTCCTTGAAACAGGTGGGCACGTAAGGGATGGTCTGCCCGTGGGAGTAGAGCTTCACGTGCGGCATGTCGGTGTCGAGGTCATCCAGATGGTTGCCGTCCTCGGTGTGCAGCTGGACCTTCGCCGCAAACTTGGCGACCATCATCTGATCATTTGACATGACCTCGAGATGCTTCTCATCCTGCTCGAACGTGACTGACACCCGCGTGACGGAGTTCCTGGCGTTGACGGTGATGTTGAAGGTGAAGCTCTTAATGCGCTTCGAGACGATGTGAGGATAGTAATTTCCAGATGGCAGGGGAGGGATCTTTGACAGCCTGTACACCTCCCCATGCTGAGCATCGGTCAACTTCTCCAGCTTGACCCTCTGGTTGTGAACTTGAAGGTCAAGATCGTGCTGCCATCGGGAGGACAAGTTGTTCCCCGAGCTGTCCGCAACGTAAAATCGCAAGTCACACTCATAGTCTGCCATGCTTGGACAAGTCACATCGAGGCCCTCCTGGCTCTCCGGATTGATGCAGAGGATAGCGTTGCAATCCCCAGGCTCGAGCTCCAGCTCGTAGCCCGCGGGGTGGAGGACGAAAGTCTTTTGGCTCCTCGTCCCCTCGCTCACGTGCAGGCTCATCCCGAGCTTCAGTGAGCCTTTGCCTGGCCTCCCGTAGATTCGCCAGTTCTTGACGCGCAGCTTTGAGCCCAGGATGGTAATGTTGCCGCAGGCATCGCGACCTTGGAGGACTGCATTGTAATCATCGTAAAGGGAGATGTTGACAGCAGGCTGCTCGTCCTGCTCGAAGGTGAACGAGATCCGCTCGTCCAGACGCTGGTTCTGAAGCGGGACGATCTCATGCCCGTTCTTGTCTAGGATCTTCGCCTCTAGGACATAGCTTTCTCCTGCCTTGACACCTTTCAGTGTCTTGTTTCCAGTAGCTTTCGAATTCTTCGACACCGAGATGATCGTGAGGGTGTGGGGATCCCCAGCCAAGACCTCCACGTTCACATCATAATGAAACAATCGCCTTTCTGCTTGGCTAGAGGAGGGGGCCTCTGCCTGGCAGGAAAACACCGAGATCGAGTGCTGCTGACTTGCCTGCACCAGCAACGGGGGCAGCTGGCAGGCTCTCTCGACAGCCGTTCTGTAGAACTGAGGGCCGGCAGTAGACCAACTCGTCTCTACCTTGAGATCTGACATGGCCGTGACGGTTCCAACGCAAGGCTGGTTGGCCTCGTCGGTTGCAACAAGGAGAAAGTCAGAGATGAGGTCCCCGTGCCTGACCTTGATATCGACCTTTGAGTTCCTACACGGCAAGTCCATCTCGGATCGGGACAGAGTGAACCGTCGCGGAGATCTGCTGACTATCAGAGGCACAGACAACCGCCGATGCAGCAACGAGCCCTCAAACTCGTAGAGCAGGTCGACGTTGCTCCTCAGAGTCTTGGGAAACTCATCGGAGTCGCAGAAGTAGACGTTGTCGCAGAGCGAAGCAGGGTCGAGGGTGTTTCGGAGCGAGTCATGAAAGACGAAGCATCGGCTGGTGATTGCGATCGGGTCGAGGTTCTGAAACCTCTCGGTAAGCGTGAGTAATCGAGGATCCTGTCTCTCGTCCGAGAAGTACCGGACACAAATCCCGACCTTCTCCATCCCTTCAACCTTGAAGATTGACTGGATCGTTGCGAGGAAGGAGCACTTGGGTCGAGTCTTCCGAGGGTCTCCGACAGCAAGCTCTTGCTCTGTGTCGAGAACAACGCAGTCACCGACTTGGAAGAAGCCATGGACCATGTGCACCGCCGCCACTGGAGTCGATTGCTGCTGCAAGATTTCCTCGAATCGCACCATGTCATCGTGAGTCACGACCGAGGGATCCTCCATCGCCCGGGCGCAGGAGAAGAGGGAGCTCGTACACGAGCTTGCAAGGCAGCAGATCCCTTTCCGCACCTCTACTGACTCCCAGTGAGTGTTATTCGCAAAGAGAAGGTCGGGGCTAGTCACAACAAGCCTTCCCTCCCGCCTCTCGCACAGATTTCCGGAGACATCTTTCAAAGTGACGTTGACAGGGGGATGGTTCGAGTAGTTGACATGCTCGGTCCAATCAGTTTCCGTGTGTATCGCAAAGGGAGCTCCGTGGGTAGCAGTGATTGAGAAATCAGACGAGATCGGAATCCCATTGCGCCTATCTCTCGCTCTGATACTGAGATTGTGTTTGCCAACTTTACAAGTAATGCGAAGATCGTAGATCTCCACTGAGTTTTCAACAAATTTCAATTTGAATGGCAGAGATTGATTCTGATTGAAAATGATATCAACTTCTGGGGAAACAGCTTTGACATCTATCAAGTTATTGAAAGAATCCTGCAAGCAAAAAGTGATCGTGATTTTCTTTCCTATTTCAACACTGTCATTGGAGATGCCTGAAACAGAAGAGATCTTGGACATTTCTCCAGGTACAACACAAAAGGTCTTTGGCTGACAATCGAATGGAATTTCAGTGTGGTGGGGCTCAAGAGTCAAAGTGTAAGAGTCCGCGACTGTCAAAGAGTCGACAATGTGTGGTGGCCAGGCATGTTGCGATATCTCGAAAGTCTTCTCCTGCCCGCTACTCAAGGCTTTCAACGTTGCTCGGATCTTGGGATGGTACGTCATGATGACAGCACCTTGGGAATTTTTATAGACCAGACGAGGAAATCGAATACTCCGGCTGGCTTGAACAGGTTGCTGGAGTTCAATCGAGATGGTTCTGATAATTTGCTCGTCATTCTTCTTCTTGTACTCTTCCCATTCCGCATCAGTCAACTTCCTGAGGAAATAAGAGGAGAGCTTGAAAGATTTTACATCATTCATCTTGTTCTTAAAGTCCAAAATTCTCAGCTCCACCTCGCCTCTTGGTTTGTTCTTGGAAAAGTGATCTTCTTGCAGAAATCTCACTATCTGCCCAACAGTCTTAGGTCCTTGCCTGGTTTCCATGAACAACTCCACGAAATCACCGGCCTGATATTTGACTTTGCACAAAGTGATTTTGTTATGCTCTGACATCTTCAATTCATGCAAGTATTTCGGATCGTTCCCCACAAAATAGACTTCCTCGTCGTGTGCCAAGTGACACTCCTTTACCCATGATTCGAAGGCCTTCTTGCGGTCCTCGAGCGCGAAGGCCTCATCCATCTTCTTGAACATCTTCTTTCCCTTGTCCAACTTCGTCTTGCTGCCATCTGGCTCGATCCCACGATCGACAAAGAGCAGCCCGAAGGTGCGTTCAAAACATCGCTTTGGAGGTTGTGAAGGGGACAAAGCCTTGTCTGGGCGCTTCATAAACTCAGGGACATACTCCTCGTATGGAAGCCAACGTCCCATCCAGAACGTCATGAAATGCCTGTTCTCGGTGCATGGATGCTTGTGCAGTTTGTCCACTCGAGGGACCGTGTTCTCATGGTTGACATATGGGAAGTAGAAGACGGCGCCTGTGACAATGATGGGACATTCTGGGTCTTCTTCATCTTCGATCCTGAGGTATATCGGAAAGCAATCCTTTGCTTGATCACCCAGGACAGTGTTCAGGCAACAATCCAAGTCCACTAGATTGTAGCTTCTTTCAATCTCCTGGTAGATGACTGAAAAACTGACGTCGATCTGACTGTAGTTTGAGTTCTCCACGCTAGTGTAACTTCGCATCATCTGTTTTAGACTGTCCATGTCTCCTTGCAACGCGCTCGCTATCGTGCCGATAAGAGGTTCAGTCGGACTCATCAAACACGATTGACCCGCCTCCATCGAGACCTTTTCTGCAAACCTCTTCGCTCCTGTCTTTTCCCTGCCCAAGTACATGAAATAAATTCCCAGCAAGTTCCTCAGACAGACGTCGAAGGATTCCTGCGAAAAAGGCCGATCGCTCCCGGCAAAAAAGTGATTCTTGAAGCCTTCAATCTCAATCTTACAGAAGCTCGACCCTGCAAGTTCATGGGTATCGCAGGACCTGACCTTCTCCACGGCTTGCCAGGCTGTCTTCTTGAACTCTTCCACCATCCGCACAACCACGCTGTTCCTGGTCTTGCTGCTGATGACATATCTCTCCCCAAGAGCATTGCAAGCTACTTTGGAGCCCCACCCGTAGCGGCAAAAAGTCCCGCACAAGTAGCGCTTGAGGGACGCGCAATGCGGGTTGTAAGACCCATTGGAAGAGTCTTGACCAGATCCGATGACAAGCATCTCTTTGGGATCCGCACATCCCACCCCGTTGTCCTCGATGACCAAAGTGCCTTCATCCAGGTTGAGCTTGCACTGGATTTTCCTGACGTCGACTTCTGTGTTGAGGAGCACGTACTGTATGCAGTTATCGAAGATCTCTCCGATGGCAATCAAGAAGGACGCGTTGGCTATCATACTCTCAATGGTTCTGTTCTTCTTTGGTGTCGTATCTATTATCGACGAGCATTGGAACTTCACATTGTCTGCAAGTGTACCCAAGTTACTACACATCGCAATCCGCTCGCATCCATCCACACTCACCTTTCAGCAGCAGCAGCCTGCATGGCCCACTGCAAATGTCCAAGTTGAACGCGCATATTTCTGATCCAATCTCGCTGTCTTTGCATAACCTTAGCGCCTGCTCAGCCATCAGTCAAATTTGAGAAAGAGCAGGAGCAGGAGCAAGAGGAGCAGCAGAAGCAGAAGCAGGAGAAGGAGAAGGAGAAGGAGAAGGAGAAGGAGAAGGAGAAGGAGAAGGAGAAGGAGGACAGGGACTCAAGAATTGTCACCGATGGGGAATCATTCAGCTTGAGCTTATTTATCAAGTGCCTGATTAAGTCTTCACTGCTACCAAATGCTTTCATGTCGTCATGGCTGAAGGAGATGACGTTTCTGATGAGATCCACGGTCATGAGTGCAAAGTGCATGGAGAAAACATTTCACCTCGAAGGCTGTTCCCCTTGGCGGTTCTCTTGCAAGATGCATTCATCAACATAAACCACAATCTCGGCAGCCATTTCCGAAGCAAAGAGAAGGACAGAGTCGGAGCTAGGAGCAAACAAGTGTACAGAAGGAGGAGAGTTGTGCCAAGTGGAACAGAGAATGAGGCTAGAGGAACGGAGGAAGGAGAAGGAGAAGGAGAAGGAGAAGGGGGATCAGGAGCAGGTGGAGCAGGTGCAGGCGCAGGAGGAGCAGGATTAGGAGGAGCAGGTGGAGCAGGAGCAGGTGGAGCAGGAGCAGGAGGAGCAGGAGCAGAAGGAGCAGATGGTGCAGATGGAGCAGATGGAGCAGGAGCAAGAGCAGGTGGGGCAGGAGCAGGTGGGGCAGGAGCAGGTGGAGGAGCAGGAGCAGGTGGAGGGGCAGGAGCAGGTGGAGGAGCAGGAGGGGAGGTGTGCGGATGGGGAGGATGGAGGTTGGACGAGGAAGACGGGGAACTAGGAAACTAAATAGCAAACAAGTTCGTGGCTGCCCAGTACAGAAGGGGGTGGGGTACTAGATCTTGTTGGTACGGGTGATATAAACACATCCAACGTTGTTCGATCAGGGGTGGGGTATACCAACTGGTACCGGTAGTGGAGAGGACGCTGGAGTACTCCAGTACAAATATACTGTATATTTCTGGTACAGAATAACTAAAACATTTTAAAATTCGTACAATTTTGTGGGAATAAGATAAAACTTTAGAATAGTTTACATATATATAATAATAAAATATTACCGGAAACTGTTACAAAACGCAGTACAATTTGTCCTGATACAAGACGCGGCGTCATCGGGCCATCAAGATAGCTGAATGTGGCGGCCATGGAAAGCAGCATGGAAGGAGACACTTGGCGGGAGGGAGCGAGGAGGGAGATAGAGGAAGAAGCAAGGAAGGAGGGAGATGGAAGATGAAAGAGGAGATATGGAAGGGAAGAAGATGGGAGACGGCCGAGTTGAAATGGGAGGGAAGTTTGTGGTAAGATGGGGGTAAGAGTGTGTAAGTAATCTGTGAGAGGGATTATGAACAACAATATGTAAGAATGATTGTTGAGGCAGCGATCAACAGGATTCTTGAATATATGAAGGAGGAGGAGAAGATCTACAGTGAAAAATGTGTTGACGTGTTCGCTCTTAACACGTGGGCCCCCAGGGTTCGACTGCTGAGGTCGCATAGAACAAACGGCACAGACCTTTTCCCCTCTCCCTCTCCTCTTCCTCCTTCTCACAAGTAGCTCGGCCAGCACATCATTCTTCAAGAGTTTTCCTCCCCCTCCTTCATCATCCGCCATGAGCAGCACTGTTGCTCCCGACGGGTTTGAGCTGGTGAATCCTTTCCTCCCTTTCTCGTGCGCTAACGCCGGAGCTGCAGGATGACGTTCAGGTGGAGGCGCTAAAGGAGCATGGAGTCATCGGGGCTGACAACCGCTGCCTCTGCTGCGGGAAGAGGAAGGAGGAGATGAAGACGTGTGCTACCTGCCGGCGAGTGCAATATTGCTCCACGAGATGTCGGGGAAGGGACCAGGAGCGACATGACAAGGTCTGCCCGTGGCTCCAGAAGTGCAAGGTCGAAGACGAGATGGCGGAGAGAGGATGGGGACTTCTGCATGACGCCGACAAGCTCTCGAAGCTGCGATCGCTCCTCGAGAAGTCCCCGGCGCTGCTGGACTCTGACCAGCTCCCGTCGTCGCTCACCTGGAGGAGGTGGAAGGAGTTGAAGAGTATCAGCAGCAAGCTGCTGGACGACGAAGGCTGCACGCTCCTCAGCGCTCCTCTCACCCTCCTCCTTGTCCTCTCCCAGCACGAGGCCCTGCAAGAGCGGCTGGTCCGGACGAGGAAACAGAAGTTGGTCGTCCACATACCGGGCGCGAGCTCCATCGAGAGCTCCGTCCCTTCCTTCGTCTGGAGGGACGTCGCCCGCCCCTACCAGCTGGAGGTCCACCTGGTCGGGCCCCAGCTGTCAAAGTCTGCGGTTGACACGGAGGTTGTCAAGCATCACGCGTGCTCCTACGAGACCTTCTGCCAGCAGAACCCCAAGAGCCAGCCCGACCTTCTGCTGGGCTTCAACATGGGACTCTCCTGCCCCGACTACAGCTGGGGGGAAGCGATGGAAGCTATGTGGAGACACGCGTCGCCGAGAGCAGGAGCAGGAGCAGGAGCAGGAGCAGGAGCAGGAGCAGGAGCAGGAGCAGGAGCAGGAGTTCCGATGGCGTTGACTACCGCTTCCTACATGGAGCTGCTGGAGGAGATCGCGATCCTGGAGGAGGAGGGTCACTTCCGCCTGCTGTCTGCTACCGAGAACCCGATGTGCTGGCCCGTGTGCCTTCAGAGCGGGACGGTTGCGTCTGACGTCTACCACAAGAGCCGGTGGATAGCCCTCGGTGTGGTGGAGGGGAGGGGAAAGAGGAAGCGACAGGACGAGGACGAGGACGAGGACGAGGACGAGGACGAAGGAAAAGTGAAGAAGGTGGCAAGAGGGTCGGGGAAGGGCAAGAAGCAGGAGGAAGGGAGGAAAGGGAACAAGGGGAAGAGGGTCAGGTCACGACCTCCCCGCTCAGAGAAGAAGAAAACAAAGAAATTTCGTTAGGATGAACATTACAGCCTGTACTCCCCCCCTCCGCCCCCTTCTGGACTTCAGCTCGGGACGAGCTTCGATCCCTCCTTGCTGTCAACCACGCTGTAGCCCTGTTTTGTTACCGTGTCAGTCCAGCTGTCAACCTCCCTCACCCCACCCGCTACCTCAGCTGCGATGAGGTCGCGGATCTCGTCAGCTCGTTTGAAATCTTTTTTCGCCTTTGCCTGCGCCTCCGGTCAGCACCAGCTGTCTCCGACCTCGCTACCTCCAGTCGCTCTTCCAGAAGCTTCTGCAGGTGAGAAGGAGCCTCCGCTGCCCCGTCTCCTCCCTCAGAATCAGCTGGGGCCGTGCCGGGGACTTCATAGAAGACGCCCAGCACCTGGCTAGGGTGTCAAACTCGCTGCCAACATGACAAGCACGCTGGTCAGACCCTGTCAATCTCCTCGAGCGTCTCGAGTGCCAACTTTGCGCCCTCCTTGTCAATCTGCTCGCAGCTTGTCAAAGGAGGTCAAGGCAGCTGACCGTTCTGCTGGGGCTGACCTGGTCAGTGTTGAGCAGCTTCTCTGTGGACTTGATGAAAGTGAAAAGTGCAGCACATGCGCGGGGAGTGTTGAGATCATCCATCATGCCCTGCGGCAACCGATGTCAGCGGCCCTCCTTCCCTTCCTCCTCCCCTTGCTTCTCCTTCCCTCCCTCTTATCCTCCCTCCAATCCTCCACTTTTCTGATCTCCTCTCCTCTCGCCCTTCTCTCCTCTCCTCTCCTCTCCTCTCCTCTCTCCACCTCACTTTCGATTCTCTCCCATCCTCTCCTCTCCTCTCACGCTCCCATGGCCCGCATCTCATCCCTCCCTCCACCTCCTCTCACTGCTTTCACCTGTTCAAAGTCGCTCCTGCACTTCTTCGCCATCTCCTCAATCGATTGTCCACCTGCCGCTCAGCTCAACTCCAGCTGACTCCCACCAACACTCACCAGACTCCATCGAGACTTCGAGCAGCCGATTTCTCCACCTGCAGACTTTCAGCTCTCTCCTCTGCCTCCTCCTCCATCCTGTTGTCCTCCCATCTCCCTCCTTCTGCTGCTTCCTCCTTCTCCCTCCTCCTCCTCTTTCCCCGTCCTCGTTCCTCTCCTACTTGTCCAGACGCTTCAACGTGTTCCTTGCTCCTTGCAGCACGTCGGGGGCAAAGTTGAGAGCAGCGCGATACTGCGAGGAGACAACCTGCGAGGGATAAGGAGAAGGGAAGACGCGAGTTGAGAGGAAAGAGCAGAGCAGAGCAGAGCAGAGCAGAGCAGAGCAGAGCAGAGCAGAGCAGAAGACAAGAGGGAGGGAGGAGGGCAAAGGGGAGGGAGGAGGAGGGATCAACCAGGTATCTGAAGGCTCGACAATCGTTGGGGTCCTTGAAAGCTTCTCGCAACGTGAGGAAATTCCCTGAGGAGCAGGTCAGCTGGTCTGTGAGCCCGGACCCAGCTCAAGTCCAGCTGGACTCACCCAGACTTTTGCTCATCTTCTCGTTGTTGATGTTGACAAATCCGTTATGGACCCAGTAACGGCAGTACTGACAACCGCAATACGCCTCGCTCTGCCCAGTTCATTAGAACCATCGCCTTCCTCTCTGCTCTTCCTACTGCTGCTCATCGCCCTCCTACTGCTACTCATCGCCCTCCTACTGCTACTCATCGTCCTCCTGCCCCTGCCCCTGCCCCTGCCCCTGCCTCTGCTCCATATTCCCTTGCCCGCAAATCTCCTTCCTCCCTCCGTCTGATTCACATGCCCTCCCTCCATCATCCTCTCCCTCGCACTGCACGACGACTTCTCCGAGGCACTCGAAACAAGAGCAAGAGGTAGACCTGAGCGATCTCGTTCTCATGGTGAGGAAAGGTCAAATCGACTCCTCCCGCGTGAATATCAAAGGAGTCGCCTGCATACGCACATCGGTCAGGACGACAAGACGGAAATCAACGAGGAGGAGGAATAGGAGGCAGAGAAGGAGGAGGAGGAGGAGGAGGAGGAGGAGGACGAGGACGAGGAGGAGGAGGACGAGGAGGAGGACGAGGAGGACGAGGAGGACGAGGAGGACGAGGAGGACGAGGAGGACGAGGAGAAGGAGAAGGAGAAGGAGCACTCATCCACCGAGATACCGACGACTCATCGCACTGCATTCAATATGCCATCCAGGTCGACCTGCCAACCAACATAGTAAAACCACCACACCCACCGCCACACCCACCTCCTCCTCCGCCGCCACCTCCGCCACCTCCACCTCCTATTCCTCGTATCTCCTTCTTTCCTGACCTTTGCTCAACTTGGTCTCCCATGTAACTTCACCATCCTCTGGCTTGTAGGCCTTCCAGAGTGCAAAGTCCTTGCTGAAAATCAAGAATGAGCACTTTCTTCCTCTTCCCTCCCTCCCTCCCTCCCTCCCTCCCCTGCTCCCTCCTCTTTTGTAATCCCCCCATTCAGTTTTTCTCTCGTTTCCCTTCTTTCCTCCTCGTCCACTCCTCCCTCCTCTTCCCCTCTTCCTAGAAACGAACCTGCTCTTCTTTTCAAAACCCTCCCTGTCAGTGATTCCTCCTCCTTCCGATGCCCCATCCTGAAATAGCTTGTGTAAGTACAATCACCACCACCACCACCACCACCACCACCACCACCACCAGCATCATCATCATCATCAGCAGCAGCAGCAGCAGCATCATTAGAAACGTCACCATCATGTTGTCAAAGTCAAGTCTTGCAAGTTTTCCATAATCAGGAAAGCTCGACACGTCGAAGTAGTAAGATCCATCCTTCTCATACGCGTTCCCCTGATCTCAAGTCAACCACCAACACAAGAGGCTAGATGTGGAGAACCTTCTGAACAAGCCCGTTGATCATCTCAACAATGTCGTCAATGTGCTCTGTTGCTCGAGGGTACTTCCTCGCTGGGATGATATTCAGCCTCTTCAGGTCCTGTCGATCATAAAAGTCAGTCAAAGTTCGTCTCAACCAGTCGAAGGCAGTTCTGCCTCACATCGAAGAAAGCATCAGCGAACTTCTCTGTCAGCTCCTTCAGTCCCACGTTGTCTCTCTTCATCCTTTGAATGATCTTGTCGTCCACGTCTGTCAAGTTGCAGATATGGTCCACGTCGTATCCACAATACAACAACCAGCGTTTCAGAACGTCGTACGTCAGGAAAGCTCTGAAGTTTCCGATGTGGGCAAAGTCGTAGATGGTGGGCCCGCAGGTGTACATCTTCACTGTCTTTCCGTCCTCGCACATCGGCTCGAACGTCTCCTTATCTCTCGACAGCGTGTTGTAGATCTTGAACCCCTTGAGCACCTCCCCAACCCTCCCGCCCCCGACCGCTGCTGAGGCTCCGCGCTGCTGCATGCTCCATCGTGGAAGCAACGGTGACTTCCTGGCCTGTCCGTGCCTGGTCATAGACAGCGACCATGATGAAGATTTCTTGAGCGGTAAACTCGCGCCCCTTGCATTCTTCAGGTGTCCGCAGTGTGAGCCCGCCGTAGCGAAGGCCGGCATGGAGTTGAACCATGGCCCTGCAGCATTCGAGCTGATAGGGTAGGACGAGGGAGAGGACGAGGATGCTGTGTTCTTCCAGGAGAGCATCGTCGCCGCCTGCATGTTCTCGTGCCATCTCGCTCCCTCCACCAGCGACGCCCCCATGGCTACCAGGAGCAGCGCCCCGACTGCCATTGTCAGACCCCTGGCACAGCAGGTACATGGGGTACTATTTTTACCCCCACCAACTCATTGTGCTACCCCACCATACAAAGACCAGATCAATTTTCCAGCATTGTTGGGTACTTCATTTACCCCTACCCTACATAATTTAACCCCTACCCTACTGATTGTATTTTCCGTCACAGAAGGGGTGGTGGCCTCCTTTGTGTGTTTTAACATCTAGCATGTGAGCACGGTGTTGCCCGTTATTTACAAGTCGTCAGTGAACGTACTACGGTAAACCAGTCCTGTGCCATGTGCCGCCCGTCACACGCCGCTGGGTCAATGCCGGCACAGGGGAGACCAGTGAAGTAGGGTGTCTGTCAAAGCCGGGCAATAAGCCGCTGCCCGGCGAGTCTGGGGCCGGGCGGCGAGCTGAGCGGCTGCCCGGCCGCTGTCCTCCGACTCAGAGCCGAGTCACGCGGCCTCACCAACTTATCAAGTTTACTGATGAGTGGCCTACAAGGCTCCGAAGCTGAGCTGGCAGCAGTGGCTCGCGGGCCAGGGGCGGCCGGGCCCGGCGGCCGCCGGGCCCGGTCTCAGAGTCTGACTCGACTCGCGAGTAATGACCAGGGCCACCAGGGTGAACCGTCTACTTGAAGATAGGTGGGGGGGTAGTAGGTACCTTGCCGCAAGTGGGGACTCCGTGGGGTGGGGTCGCTACTCGATAGGCGAGGCTATTTCGAGGGTAGGGGGTCATGTTACTAAAGCGACCGTTAGCACAAAATGAGATGAGATGAGATGAGATGAGATGAGATGAGATGAGATGAGATGAGATGAGGTGAGATGAGATGAGGTGAGATGAGGTGAGATGAGGTGAGATGAGGTGAGATGAGATGAGGTGAGGTGAGATGAGATGAGATGAGATGAGATGAGGTGAGATGAGATGAGATGAGGTGAGATGAGGTGAGGTGAGATGAGATGAGACGAGATGAGGTGAGATGAGATGGGATGAGATGGGATGGGGTGAGATGAGATGAGATGAGATGAGATGGGATGGGATGGGATGGGTGGAGCAAGAGCATTCATCAAGTCCATCTGATCATTGTTTACAGGAGACACATTGAAAGGGAAGGATTTGATTGCTTGCATGTCTGTTCATATTGAGAGCTCTCACAATTCCAACATCTGTCAACTTGCTATTCCACCATGAAGGAGGCAGAGAATGCTGCAAACTCTGACGCTGCCAGGAAGACGGAATGGAAGTCAAGAAAAAGCGACCGGCTGGTCAGAGCAGAGCTCGTGCTCAACGGGCTCAAGACGGATTTCCTGCAGCAGTTCAGAAAGATAGAGAAGCAGAGAGAGTCGCATGCGATACGAGAGAAGCAGATAAGAAACGAGTACTTCTTCAAGCGCAGAAATTTACAAGTCCAGCACGAGCTGGCGACCAAGGGCAACAAGCCTGTCACTCGGTGGAAGAAGGAGGAGGTTCCTGTGCAGAAGGACCCTGAGCCAGTCTTCCAGCACAAGCTGTTTGTTCCTCGCCTGAAGCTTGACGCTAGACTGCATGATTGGCAGCAAAGTAACATGGAGAGCACGGCAGCAGAGGAGGAGGCTCCCGTGCGCTACATCGACTCGATCCGATCGCAGGTGACGCGGGTGGAGGTGTCGCAGGAGGAGAGGGCGAGGCTGCTGGCCATGGGAGCAACGACAGCCCGAGACGAGGGAGGAGAGAACGTTGCGCTGGCGACTTTCACCGCTCCTCATTGGACCTCGTTGCTGACCAAGTCCTGGAACGTGACGTCGGCAGGGAGCGTAAGACCGCAGACGACACGAGACCCTCCTGCTGGTTCAGCCAGCTCCAGGTGGCTACCGACGAGAGCCCTGACGTCTCGGTCCGAGCAGCGGAGCAGGAGCCATGCGTCGGCGCTGCTTGCGGCCGAGAGGGCAACCAACGAGCTGTACATGGTGCTTAACGACATGAACCAGCGGTCGTTGCGGAGATCTTTGAGCGGCGACTCGTTGACGGGAAGCCGAAGCCCGATGATGGACCCGGTAGCTGTCCGGGGGGAGAGGAGCCGGCCGACGGAGAAGACCAAGATTCCGTCGACGAGCAAGAGGGAGGCAGAAGGGCAGAGGAGACTGGAGGACAAGAGGGAGAAGGAGGAGCAGGAGGAGGTGGAGGAGCAGGAGGAGGGGCAGGAGGAGGAGCAGGACGGGTTTGAGATGGTACACGCAACGAAGTTTGACGAGCTCAAGATTGTCGGCTCCTTCCCCAAGTTCTCCAGCAGCAACCCACGAGCTGGGAAGAACGTCAAGGGGGATCACAGCCGGAAGGCTCGTCCAGCTACGAACAAGCCAGTCAACCGGTTGAAAGCGAGGACAAGAACTGCTCCTGCTAGGTGCTGCTGCTTGCTTACTTCCTTGCTGCAACCCCTCTCCCTCCCCCTCCCCCCCCCCTTCTCGCCCCCGTATCGTTGCTGCTGCTGGGCTTGTGTGAGGCACTGAGATGGAGCAGGAGCTCTGACAACGGCGGCAGCGGGCTGAGGAACGAGGAGGTCGCGGTGAGAAAGATCGCAAGTTGCTGGTTTCGACTGAATGCTTCTTCCTCCTCCCATGCTTCCTCCTCCTTCCGTCTATTCTCCTCCTCGTCCTCCTTCCGTCTTTTCTCCTCCTCCTCCTCCTTCCGTCTATTCTCCTCCTCCTCCTCCTTCCGTCTATTCTCCTCCTCCTCCTCCTCCTCCTTCCTGCCCCTGCCCCTGCCCCTGCTCGTGCTCGTGCTCCTGCCCCTGCCCCTGCCCCTGCCCCTGCCCCTGCTCGTGCTCCTCTCTTCCTCTTTCTCCGCAGAATCTCCACGAGCTCAAGATCGCTGTGGACGAGGGTGTCGTGCAGTGGCAGTCTGAAAGCGACTCTTATCCTCTTGTACAG